GACTTGTTGGCAAGGAAGGAGGAAAGGAAGATTGTCTGGCATAGGTGGGGTAGGACTTGAGGGTAAGATGTTTCGGAGGGAACAGTGGGTGCAAAAACCCAGAGATAAGAGCATAGCCTGTTCATGGAATTGAACATCACTTACCGTGCCTGGAACAGAGAAATGGGGGGAGGTGAGACCAGGAAGATCAGAAATCATACCAAGGAATTTGGGTTCCAGCCACAACATGGATGGACTAATGCCTTCCCATTTCCTTACTGGCACCCATTTGCCACAGGCCCACCTGGAAGGTCAGCAGTGGTCCCAGCCCACTCCCATAACCCTGCCCAGAGCAATCTTTTCAACAAAGACCTGGCCCCTGAGAGGGGTACGCGATGGGCATTGAAGTGAGACCACGTTACTCAGAAGCTTCCAGGCCGGGGCTGTGGTTGTGGCAGGCTGTCCAGCCCCTTCATCGGTGAATAGGTCAAGGGGCTCCTTGGGCAGGAAAGGCTGGCTGGAGGGGCGCCAGAGCTCAGAGAAAATGAAAGCCTGGATGAGCCACTTCACTCCTCTTCCTGCAGTTTACTGGGAATGATGGAGCGGAGCCAAGCGTTCCCAGCACCGCCCACCATGCTGCTCACTGCACCCTGTGGGGCTACTGAGGGCCCAGCCAGACAGGTCGGGCTCGGTATCTGGCATTTAGGCCAGAGACTTTAACTCAGCCCCAGCCTCCTCACCGGTAAAGTGGGACTTGTACCTTTAAAACAAGATGTAACCACCGAAAGCATCAGTCATCGCCTTTGGCAGTCCAGACACCCGCACACCCCTCCCCACCCCTTCAACCTCCGGTTTCTGTGGCTGTGGCCTCTCAGCAGCTGTCTGAGGCCACTGCAGCCAGGCCCCAGTGGAGGTCGGAGTGTGTGTGAAGGCGGGCGGCTGCCGGTGAGTCTGGGCCTGCCCTGGGGTGGAACCTCAGTGAAGCAGGATTCACCTTTCTCCATTTCCTTCTCCCTCTCCTCAACCCTCCCCTCCATCCCAGCACATCTGCTTCACCTGCCCCCTTGCTGGAGTTCATCTGTGCTTCTCACGGTTGGATTTGGGAATAGTGGGGACGTTGGGCCCTGAGTAATGGGGAGAGAGGTTGGAAGGGGTGCGGAGTTACCTTACTGAATGCCTGCTCTGCCCCTCACTAGCTGGGTAATCCTGGTGAGTCATTTTGCCTCTCTGGGTTTTAGCTTCCTCCTTTTTGGTACAATGAAGGTGAAAATACCTCCTCTGTCCCTGTTCCAAGAAATCAAAAAATTCTGTTTATCATAGAAAGAACAAACCTTGCCAATGGAGGCGACAGGCCTGCATTTGGCGTCAGGCAGACTGGAGTCTTGAAACTTCTCTGAGCCTCAGCTTCCTCATCTCTTAAATCTGTTGCTCTGAGGGTTACAGAGATCTGGCTGGCACAGACAGCGTGGGCAAAAGTGGGTACTCCTCCCTGTCCCCTCTTCCGGCAGGGTGGTTCCTGCTCCAAGAATTGGGTAGATGAGCAGAGGATAGAGGACCCCTGGGAAACTTGTTAAAAAGACATTCTCTGGTCTCTCTGAAGATTTGGATTCAGGATTCAGGGTGGAGACAGAGTTGGATCTTAATTTTTCCTTTAAAAAAATTATTTTATTTTTTAACTTTATGCATTTATTTTACAATATCATATTTTAAAAATTAAAGTACAGTTGATGTACAATATTATATGTTACAGGTACACAACATAGTGATTCACAATTTTTAAAGGTTATACTCCATTTATAGTTATTATAAAATATTGGCTGTATTCCCCATGTTGTACAGCACATCCTTGCAGGTTATTTTATACTTGATAGTTTGTACCTTTTAATCTTCCACCTCCGTCTTGCCCCTTCCCTCTCGCTCTCCCCACTGGTAACCACTAGTTCCTTCTCTGTATCTGTGAGTCTGTTTCTTTTCTGTTATATTCACTAGTTATCATATTTTTCTAGATTCCTTTCATGTAAGTGATACATTACAGTATTTGTCTTTGTCTGGCTTATTTCACTTAGCATAATGTCCTCCAAGTCCATCCATGCTGTATACCACAAACTAATACAATATTTTAAATCAACTGTATTTCAATTAAAAAGAAACAAACAAACAAACACTCCATTTAAAATATGGGCAGAAGAACTGAACAGACATTTTTCCAAAAGAGGAAATGCAGATGGCCAACAGGAACATGAAAAGCCGCTCACCATCACCAGTATCAGGGAAATGCAAATCAAAATCACCATGAGACCCCATCCCACACCTGTCAGAATGGCCATCATCAAAAAGAACACAAATAATGCATGTTGGTAAGGATGTGGAGAAAAGGGAACCCTTGTACATTGTTGGTTGGAATGTAAATTGGTGCAACTACTATGGAAAACAATATGGAAGTTTCTCAAAAACCCCCAAACAGAATCACCATATTGCCCAGCAATTCCACTCCTGGGCCTTTACCCCAGAAAAACAAAAACGTTAATTCAAAAAGATACATACACCCCATGATTAACAGCAGCACTATTTACAATTGCCAAGATATGGAAGCATCCCAAGTGCACATCAATAAATGAATGTTTAGAGAAGATGTTGCATATATATGCAGTGGATACAACTCACCCATAAAAAGAAGGATATTTTGCTCTTTGCAGCCCTTCATTCAATTTTTTTCTTCTTTCTTTCTTTTTTTTGTTGCACTTCAAAAAACAGAATTTTATAACTGGCATAAACATTTCCATTGCACCAAAAACAACAAAATACCTAGAAATAAACTTAACCAAGAAGGTTACCTATATTCTGAAAACTGTAAAACACTGATGAAGGAAATTGAAGATGATACAAAGAAATGGGAAGATATTTCGTACTCTTGGATTGGAAGAATCAACATGATCAAATGGCTGCACGACCCAAAGCAACCCACAGATCCAATGCATCCCCTGTCAAAACACCCACGACATTTTTCACAGAACTAGAACAATTCCAAAATTTATATGGAACCATAAAATACACCAAATTGCCAAAACAATCTCTTGTAGGCTTTTTTCCCTTTTTCATCTTTTTGTTCTCTTTTCTTATAGTTTGATGACTAGAGAAGTTCCTTTAACATTTGTTTTAAAGATGGGTTAGTGGTGCTAAATTCTTTTAGCTTTTGTTTATCTGTGAAGCTTTTGATTTCTCCATCAAATCAGAATGACAGCCTTGCTGGATAGAATATTTTTGGTTGTGAATTTTTCCCTTTCATCACTTTAAATATATCGTGCCACTCTTCGCTGGCCTGTAGAGTTTCTGCTGAAAAATCTGCTGATAATCTAATGGAAGTTCCCTTGTATGTTATTTGTTGCTTTTCTCTTGCTGATTATAATGTTTTCTCCTCCTGCTTAATTTTTGTCAGTTTGATTACTATGTGCCTTGTGTGTTCCTCTTTGGGTTGATTCTGTGTGGAACTCTCTGCGCTCGGACAGTTAGACCTTAACAAGCTCTTGGGTTAACCCATCTGGCTTCAGTCAGGGAGAGCCAGTCCACCAGGAGGTAGGGGGAAGGTAGGGCCTGGGATTCTGACAGAGATGCCCAAATCCTCGCCCTTCACCTGTGACTCAGTGCAGGTAAGCAGAGCTAGGAAGAGCCCAGAAGTAATGAAACTCTCCTTGCCCAGTCCTGGTGGCCTCTGGACTCCCTCCAAGCCTGTTCTGGAATGTGGGCCTCTTACTTTGGAATAACCTGGATGCTTGTTAAAAATTCATTTTCTGGCCTCAACACTGGCACTGATGCATCAGAATCTCTCAAAGTAGAATCTGAGAACAAAGAACATGTTTTATTTTTTCTTTAGTGGAGGTACTGGGGATTGAACCCAGGACCTCATGCCTGCTAAACATGCACTCTACCACTGAGCTATTTCCTGTCTTCCTGCTTTGTTTTATTTTGTTTTTTTTTTTTAAATCTTCATTTTTAATAAGATCAACTGAGTCTGTTGTGGAGAAAGGATTTGACCCTCAATTCTGGGACACAAGGCAGGAACTTGGGTAAATAAAGTGATTTTCATTTACTGAGTTCCTGTTAAGTGCCAGGCGTCAGGCGTAGCACGGGGAGTCTGTGTGGCTGTTACTGACCCAGGAAACTGAGGCTCAGAGGCACCTAGGAAGCTCCAGCTGAAGACCAGAGGTGGCAGTCAAACCCTGGTCTCCTGGATTCTGAGTTGATATTTGACAATGTCCACCTATGCCAGGGGCCCAGTTTGCTTTTCTCTGTGGCCTGACCCCTCTGCTTCCTGCTAAGGTGAATCAGATATTTTGGGGAGGCGGGGTAGAGGGTGGAGGCGGACTGAAGTGGTAACTCTCAGCACAGAACACGCAACATTGGAGCTCCAGGCAGAGTCCTAGGCTTTGGCAGAACGCTGGTCTTTGCTGTGGTCAGACTAGGCAACTCTCAGATTAGGGGCTCAGGAGGGCAGGGATGGCTGCATCTCCCCTCACATGAGGGTGGCTTCAGGAGGCAGAATAGTCTCTTTCCTGACAGACTGGGCATCCCTGAAGGCAGGCTGTGTCCTCCTTGGTTCGGGGCACATGTGGGCAGGCTATGTCATATCTGCTGGACTGTGGCTTCCTGTGGGCAAGACAGGGGTCTCTTCTGAAAACAGCTTTGAGTCTTTTCCAGCAGTGTGGGGCTCACTGGAGTCCTCCCACTGAAGCTCAGGCTCCTGAGGACGGGGCTAGGAACTTCCCTAGGTCAGGGCGCAACTCCGCCTCAGACAAGGGGCCCAGTTCCTCCCCTCTGTCAGCCCAGGCCCAGCCCTTCCTCTTGGGAAGGACCAGCCCAGTGTTTCTGACTGAGCTAATGTGCACAGAGAGAGACTCCCTGGATGGATGTGAGTATTCCTGGTGACCTTAGGTTTGCCTCCCACCCCGTGCCCCGCCCAAGTAGCTGCCTTCCTGGCCTTGTACCCTGAGCATCCAGCAGAGCCTGCAGGCGGACTCCCCTAGTCCTGTATCTGCTCAGGAGGTATTGGAGCGTAAAGTGAGTCACACAGCTACGTCTGGGCGTGCCTTCTGCCTCTTCTCCACTCCCTGTGCCACTTCCTGAGTTCTCTGAGAAGCCGTCCAGGAAACATGCTCTTGGCGGCCCCCACCTTCCCCTCAGCAATCTCTGTCACCTCCTAGACCACTGTCCCTGCAGTTTCTCAGGTAAGAGGTTGGTGGCCTGGGTGAGAGGGTCAGGTTTGGCTGCTTTGTCTGGCTGCTCTGCAGGGTCCTGGATGCTGCTCAGGCTCTGGAGGGGTCCGCAGAGCTGGATTAGGTCTGATCTCCCTCCCATCAGCACCCTTCATGGACGCCCAACTCCTTCATCACTCACAGACACGGCACACATCCTTTTACCCCTCAGAGACATTGAACATATACAGTCACCAACATATGTGGCATTCCTTCCCACACCTGATGCAAAACACACCCTCATCACCCACAGGCACAGTTCACGGCCCTTCACAAATAGACATCACACGACAGATCCTCAACATCCACTGATCCAACCCATGACCCGTCGCTACGCACAATGCACAAACCGTCACAATGGACACGATACCCCCTCATGTGATGTATATTGCTACTCACAGGACGAAACACACATCCTTACAGACACACAACATGTACGATAGCACTGATGCACACAGCACATGAACAACTCTTGCAGCAGGCAATAAGCCCAGACATGAAAGACCTTCCACTCACTCACGGCAAACAAACCTATTTTATGTAAGCTCACAAACCTCCCCTGCCCCACATGCACACACACGCATCAATGCAACCGCACATACATATCATAGAAACTCCTCACACACTTAAATAGGCCTCCAAGATCCTTGGGTGGTACTGTTCAGCTGAGTCAGGGGCCGAGGCCCAGTCAGCAACACCATCCCCACTTCTCACCTCTCCCCTTGGGCCCTGCTTGTGCACTGGAGGGGCAGCCAGGAGCAGAGCTAGAGGTCCCGGCCACATCATGGAGCGTGATGAGAGGGGCCGCCTCTTCTAGCTGTCTGAGTGCTGCTTCCTAATGGCCCTGGGACTCGGCACAAGCTGATAATAAAAAAGCTAGCTAGCGCTTATCACGTCCTACTGTGGGTCAGACATCATGCTCCCTGCTCTTGTTAGCATTATCTTATTTAATTATGCAATCCTCTTCTGAAGCAGAGGGATACTAGTCTCCTCACTTTACAACTATGTTTTGGTGTAGGCTCAGAGAGGCTAAGAAACTTGCCCAATATACCACAGCTAGGAGGCCACAGTGGGATTTAAACAAAGGTAAGTCTGACCTCAGTCTCCACCTCTTCTTTTAATTTATCTTAAAACCTTTTTATTTTATTTTATTTTTATTAAAAAATTTTTATTGACGTGTAGTTGATTTACAATGTTAGTTTCAGGTGTACAGCAAAGTGATTCAGTTACACATGCACATGCATATATACATTTTCTTTTTAGGCTCTTTTCCACTATATGTTATTACAAGATATTGAATGTAGTTCCCTGTGCTATAAAGTAGGTCCTTGTTGTTTACCTATTTTATATAGAGTAGTGTGTATCTGTTAGTCCCCAACCCCTAATTTATCCCTCCCCACCCTTTCCCTTTGGTAACCATAGTTTGTTTTCTATGTCCGTGAGTCTGGTTTTGGTTTGTAAATAGAATTTGTATTTTTTTTTTAGATTCCACTTATAAGTGATATCATATGATATTTGTCTTTGTCTGACTTACTTCACTCAATATGATCATCTCTAGGTCCATTCATGCTGCTGCAAATGGCATTATTTCATTCTTTTTTTATGGCTGACTAATCACCCATTGTGTATTTATATATATCATGTCTTCTTTATCCAGTCATCTGTTGATGGACATTTAGGTTGTTTCCATATCTTACTTTTTTTTTATTTTTTAAAGTGGTAACAAATGAGCAAGCTAAAAGTTCAGTAGATACAAAAGAACGCACAGTGCAAAGGCTCCCTCCTATCCTTGTTCTCCAAGCACCCAATTTCACTCTTGGAGGGCACCCACGTTATCCCTTGGAGACCTCTCTTTTGACTGTCACAGAGCACTCTAGAAGTGAGAGTTCCAAGCACAGTGCCCAGACTCCAGGGGCTTCCCATGCCCTCCGCATGCCCAGGCATACAACCAGTTGCCTCTCTCTGCCCATATGAAGAGCAAGGCCGGAGCTCTAGGGCTCCACCCAGCCCAAGTCCTAAGTCCTCTCCTCCCTAAACCCTCCAGGAGACCCCTGCCCTTGAGTCCCCCAGGCCTGGACCTTCTCACCTTTATCTCACTGCTGGGGATGCTCGCCACACCCCTAAGGCTTCCTTACAGGATCCAGCCACAATGAGGGGCCCCCCTCTTAGAAGCTGGGGGAGGGGAGCAGTCCTTACTGCTGTCAAAGGTGCGCCCAAGCTGGACAGGGAGAGCAGGTGGGACTCAGCCCTGACCAGAGGAGGGAGAGGACGAGGGAGAGGAAGAGGAGGGAGGAGAAGGAGGACTAGCTGCCAGGCACTGTCCTTTACAGACCTAATTCCATGGGAGGTTGTGGTGTCATCCCCACTTTACAGAAGTAGGCTTTGAGACTCAGGCGCCCATCTGTTAAGTGATAGAATTGACATTCAAACTCCCAAAGTCTGAAGAAGGATGAGTAAATGAGAAAGAGAGAGAAAAAGAGTCAGAGAGAGAAACTGAGGTTATGAGGAATAAGAGAGGTTTCAGTGCTGCCAAGCCATCCCGGAGAGGCTCTCAGAATGAACCTGCTGCCCAAGTGACTTACGGGCTCTGAGGTCTCTGGTTTGGGAGGAATCCCCCTCCTGTGATTCTTCCTATTCTGTTCCTTTGCACCATTTGTCTGCCCTTGTGCTTAGTGCAAACACCCTCCTATCTTTTTATTTTTTATTTTTATTTTTTAATGGAGGTACTGGGGATTGAGCCCAAGACCTTGTGCATGCTAGGCAGGCGCTCTACCACTGAGCTACCTCCTATCCTAATTACTGGAACTTTGTAGTAAATCTTGATCTACTAGGTGACACTTACTTGACTTCTCATTCTCCAAATTATCTTGGCTAATTTCAGGCCCGGGTTTTATATATATAAATGCATGTTACAAATTCCTGTGCACCTACTTCTTGCTGAATTAAATAGATTATTGCAGATATAATAGAAGCCTCCTGTGTATCCTCACTAATCCTGCCCTCCACTCCCTGAGGGTAACCATATGTGAACTTGTCTTTATATATTGATGCATATGTATTGTGTCCACCAGTAATAATAATGTTTTAAAGTTTTAGGAAATAGTATCATGCTATATTTATCCTTCTGCAACTTGCTTTTTAAGTTTAGCATTGTGTTTATTGTCCAAGTTATTACATGTGGCTCTGTTCGCTTTAACATCTGTACAGGATTACATGGTAGAAACATACAAATTTTAATATTTCCAGTGTGTACCTAGGAAGAAGTTGCACATTTTCAACTTTCTTATGAAATTAATTTCCAAAATGGTGGCGCCGTTTGTAGCCTCGTTTTAGCAGTGTAATAAGAGCTTCCATTGTTCTACATCCTCGGCAATACTTGGAATTGGCAGGCTTTCATTTCTTTCCAGTCTGGTGGTTGGTTGTTTTAATTTGAATTCCTGATTTTCTGAGACGTTGACCATATATTTATGTTTCTCAGCCTTCAGGCTTTTTCCTCTGTAAATTGCCTACTCCTTCCTTTACCCATTTTTCTATTAGGCTTGTCTTATTGTTATTGATATGTAGGAATTCAGGTTACGTTATGCCTAAAGTTTCATGATACATGTTTTACAAATATCTTTTCCCAGTCTGTGACTTTTCTCTTTACTATTTTTATAGTATCTTTGAATGTACTCAGTTTTAAACTTTATATGGCCGTATTTATCCAGATTTTCTTTGTTACTTGTAATTTCTATGTCTTAATTTAGAAAATTTCCCTGACCTTAGATCATAAAGATATTGTCCTCTATTTCCTTCCAAAACTTTTTATATTTTGCTTTTCATAGTTAGGTCTTTATGCAGGTTGGAATTTAATTCTGGATGTGATATAAGATAAGGATCTAATTTTATTATTTTTTTTCCCTTAATGGATAGCCATGTATCTTGCACCAATATCTACTCCTTTTTTACTGATCTGTAATGGTAACTCTGTCATATGTATTATTTCCATATGTATGATTTCTATTTGTTTTTTTAAATTGAAGTATAATTGACTTACAATGTTGTGTTAATTTCTGGTGTACAGCATAGTGATTCATTTATATATATATATATTCCTTTTTATATTTTTTTTCATATGGACTATTACAAATAGATAAAAAACAAGGTCCTGTTGTATAGCACAGTGATCTCTATTTCAAGAATATCTATTCTGTTCCTCTGGTCTGTTTTCCTGTCCCTTTGTTAGTACTACCCTGTCTTACTACTGTAACTTAATAATAAGACTTGATAGGGAAAACTCTATCCCTATGTCCCTATTGTTCATAAATTCAGACTTCAAAAATTTCTTGGCTAGGCTTGGCTCTTTGCTTTTCCATTTGGAATTTTAGGATCAGCTTGTAAAGTTCCTTGCAGAACTCTATTAGGATTTTTTAAAAAAGTGCTTTACGTATGCCATTTCCCCTCAAGCTTTACTGAGATGTGTTTGGCAAGTATAATTGTAAGATCTTTAAAGTGTGCATCATGGCGATATATGTACACATTGTGAAAGGATTCCCACTATCTGGTTAATTAGCATTTATTGGGATTTTGATTGGACTGGCACTGAATTTATAGGCTAAATTGAGGAGAACTTACATCTTTATGATATTGACAGTCCCATGCATGAATGTGTTACATCTATCCATCTAGTTCTTGTTTAATTATTTTTCAATGATTTTTATAATATCCTCCATCAAGACCTCGCACATCTTTGGCAAAAAAAATTGCCAAGTAGTTTTCTTGGTATTATAGATTGGGTCTTAAAAATGACATTTTCTGTTTATTGCTTCTTTATAGGAACATGATTAATTTTTATTGTTGATTTTATATCCAGAAGTCTTGCTGAAGTCTTTTGTTGATTCTAATCATTTGACCATGGAATTGCTTTAATTTTCTGTGTGGACAATCATACTGCATGTGAAAATCACAGTTTTGCTTTTACTTTCCAAACTTCA